CACTGTGAAAGCCCTTCTTATTAAGACTAACGTTCTAGTTGTTTCGCATACTTTCTGCACTTTTGACTTCACTTTTGGTAGTTGCCGGTGCAGCCCCATCATCACGATTCTCCTTCTATGGATCTCCATAAAATAATGTGTTGTGTATCTTTATGTGATTAAAAATTATCCTCTAGGAACAATAGTTGCAATCCATTCCAAAATTGTCCTAGAAAAGGGTTTTATACTTGCTGTGGAACTTTCATCATCATCATTACGAATCCTATCTTGTCATTTTCCTATATCATGGGCCACATCTTCAATAAGACCATAAGTCCCTTTTTCTTGCTACTTCATCCTTGTCCTTTTAGGCCTCCCTCTTGCCCTTTAAGAGCTTTCCACTTGAACCAAATCGCACGTTCTAACTGGTGTTGTATTGGGTTTGTGCTGCACATGGCCACCCACCCAAGTCTACTTTCCCTCATCTTGTTACCTATTGGAGCCACGCTTAAATTCCCTCAAATATACTCATTCCGAATTTTATCATTTCTTGTATTACCACTCATCCATCTCAACATTCTCACGTCTCTGCTACACTTATCCTATGGGTATGTTGTTTCTTTACCACCGACATTCCATCCCATAAAGCAAAACGGGTCCCACAGTTGTCTTATAAAACTTCCCTTTCAACTTCATTTGTATGCGGCCATCACATAAAACTCCGCTTGAACATCTCGACTTCGCACACCCGGCTTTAATTCTATGTACGACATCTTCCTCAATCTCCCCATTTTTCTGGATTATTAGCCCAAGATATCGAAAATATTCTCCTATGTTGTTGAACTTTAAAAGTTTAAAATCATTACCACTCACAATAAAAAAATTAGATTTCCATCATATACTTCTTTGTTCATCCCTTTATCATCACTCACCTCATTTTGGATCACCATATATATGGTTAACCAATTATGTCATTAATTGGCAATTCAATCTTGCAATCCGAAAAGATGCCATCAAATCAATTTTCCTCTTAAACTTTTGTAAAATATTCCTGAGGTGGTGTGAGGTAGTTGGCACAAATCTCATGCAGTTCACTCACCCAGCATGCCTCCGGGAATTGCAACTTAATGAATCACCAAATCCATTAGTTGATTCAATCTTTGAGTCAAGCCCGATATCGACTGCACAACTAGGGTCTCAAAGAACTCATATACCTATCGGATCTCTAACCCAACATTATCAAGGCCGCTCTAATACCACTTTAATGGAGCAAAAATCAGAGAGGTCAAAAAAAATTAAAAAGAGGGAGTGCACAACAACCATGATCGAGCATAATAGCTTTAGAATTCGAAAGTTGAGAAGTCCATTATAATATCAATATTATTTTTCTCATCCTTCCTCACAATGGACGCTTAATAATCTTTTAAACCCAAAACCTAACATAAGATATAAATAAAAAAATTCAAAACTCTTAAATACCTCCAATAATTAATAAAATACCCAAAAAAAAAAGAAAACTGATCAATTCTAAAATTCGTCACCGTTTTTAGGCCGATAATTCAAACTAAGATTTATGGCCTAAAACGAAATAGCATTCTTAGATAACTAAAAGATCTTTGAAATGCAACTTGAAGCATGAATATTGGATGCATAAGTGAAAAGTTATGCCCCTCATATGATGGCGACATCATCATAAATCTAGTGGGGAGTTCACAGAAAGAAATTAAATACCTGAAATTTTGATAAAAAATAACAATCGAATCATATAAGCCAAGCTATTCTCTCTTTGATAAAAAACAATATCCATCTCTCCATCTAAAATCCTCTATTGACCTCTATTTTTATACTAAGGCATAACTTGACCATCAAGAAAACTTAAATCTAATGTAAAATGGACTCCTAATTTAAACTAAACATGAAATGACACTTTTAACCCTTTCCATAACAACCTCACTACTTTCAGATACTCAACCGCAAAATCCCTGCAAAACTTTAAAAAAATCTAAAAATAAACAACATACTATAAATAGCCATGGCATTAAATAAAGAAAAATAAAAAATATGAAACAACTACTCTCGCATCAGACCATCCTAGTTGGAGAAAACTCATCCTTGGGTTTTGAAATGGGCTAGGACAAATTCTATATCACATGCACCATCTTCTTCAACACTTTTCTTTGCTTTCTTTAAAACTATGAATGGTAGCGAAAATACCTCAAGGAATGGATCTTATGCAGATGGAGGAATTGATAAAAATGTATCCACTTCAACTATCTATGAACTTGCACTAAAAATGATATTGAAAGCTTTGAACTCGAATTTCAGGCCTTTAGAAGATTTTCTTTGTGAAAGCAATAGTCAAAACCAGCAAAGCTATTTTAGGCATTGTAGAGCTCTAAAATAGCTTTTGACAAGTATGAATAATAGCGATTATGAGTTATGAGCAAAATGTTATGGCCATCCAAAGGAACAACGCTCAAAATTACCTCATCTAGCACATGAAACCTTGTATCAAGGGAAATATTGTCAACTAAATGTGTAAGCACGCTGTATCACAAACTCATTAGCAGAGTATCTAGAGAATTTGAGATTCCACATAGCCCCATCATCATCCTTCTTTTTCTCCAATGGATAGAATCCTAATTTGAGTTGTATTCTTATCCGGAAGATGGTGCCTAGTTATGTATCTAAAAGAAGGTTGTGCAACAACTGAGGCCCTAATCTAGAACACGAACTCCATGGTGGCACTCATATCTCTCCTTAAGGCATCTTATAGTGTCTGCAATGCTTGGTTCATCCACATAAACGATTTAAAAGGCCTTATTTAGCCACAGAAACCTGCCGAAATTACATCGCTTCACCCTAGAATAAAAAAAGAAAGCTTCTTGGGTATGACACTTCCAAATCTTAACTTGCTACTCAAACCAGCACCTTTCTCTTCCAAAACCTATTCATCTTATCTTGAACCTCATCATAGATGGGATTGCCCACAAAATATTGCATTTCACCACAAATCAAATCTACCCATGAAATCTTGTCCTTCATCTAAGCGAGTGTCAAAGATTGGTGGCAATCCCAATCTACAACTTGTTGATTTTGAAAACAATTTGAGGAAAAGTTTCTCTACAGTCTGTTTCTTTCAAGATCAAAACCCAAAATATCCCCATACGAATCCCCACATGCAGTTAGATCACCTCTCTCCTGGCTGTGCAGTGGAATAAAAACCGCTGAACATCATCCATCATTAAGATTGGATTCAGATACTCATTGTCATGAATGACTAGATGTTGATCAGAGAGGGTTCAGAACTTATTGTTGACCAGTTCCTCGGACCTCCTTCAATTTGAAAGTACTTTACATACCTTGTATGCCCATTCCTCAATTCTTCTTCTTAGATCATTTGAGTTAGTCCATTGTAACTTCCACACCAATACCACCACCACAAACAACACGGGCTCCTCTAGCAGCTATCACTCACACTTGCAGCGTCTCAGGTGCTTTTGGTAAGGAACCTGCTCTGGTGCCTATTAATGTAGCGGGGTATTTACAACAAGAAATTAAAGAATTGAAAATTTCATTGAAAATAACAATGGAAACTTCCAGCCAAGCTACGTTAACTACCTTTGATTTAACTAAAATTCTCAAAACAATTAATATCCAACTCTCCATCTAAAATCCCTTATTGATCTCTATTGTACACTAAAGAAGAACATAACTTGATCCTCGAGAAACCCTAATTCTATGTAAAATTGAACATAAAAATCACTTGTACCCCTTTAAAAATAAATAATTCCATAACACAACTAATTTCCCAAACTAGCCGTAAAATCCATATAAACATAAAAAGCCCTAAACAAACCCTAAAAAAAGTCCTATAAATTCATCCCTCGAATTAAATAAAGAAAAATAAAACATATGAATCAATCTGTCCGGCATCACTTACGTATATGATCATTTCCATCAAACATTCTCAAAGAATTGTGTGACATGTATCATCCTAGCAAGTAATGTTATCTTAAAACAATGTCATAAGATTTCCCTTAGTGTGCATATACAAGGCACTTTAAAATCATTCTGGGCATCCAACTAGAATGTGGGTACACTTACGTATATGATCATTTCCATCAAACATTCCCAAAGAATTCGGTGTGACCTATGTCATCCTAGTTTTCAAGTAATGTTATCTTAAAACAATGTCATAAGATTTCCCTTTGTGTGCAAATACAAGGTATTTTAAAATCGTTCTCAGCATCCAACTAGATTGTGGGTAAGAGAGAGATACCAAATGTCTAAATCAACATCTTATGCAAAGTAATGAAAAAGCAGGGTATTTAAAGGTCCGCCTCTGATGCCTCGGTGGCACCCTAAGAAGCCAAAGAGCCTCCGTGCCCCACCTGGGCCAAACAAAGCCACCCTTTGTGAGCACTGACTAGGTGGGCGTCTAGCGCTTTGCTAAAGGTACCCGCTTGGGTTGCTTTATGTGCATGTGTGCACGCGCATGTGCATGTGAGAGAGAGAGAGTATGTTATGCATGTGTGTTGTGGTGTGCTAGAGAGAGAGATTATGTTGTGCATGTGTGTGCATTGTGGTTGTGTGAGTGTGTGTTGTCCTCTCTCTAATTCCAACCATTCTCTCCTTACTGAACCATTGCCCTCTGAAGAATGGTGGGATTTATGGTTGTAACATTATTCTCTCTCTCTTCAACCAATCCTCCTGAGATAACGATATTTCATAGATAGTAATTAGATTTTTCTTTTGAAAGTAATACGGTAATTAGGCTAAAATGATCACCACAAAACTATAAGATGGTTCAACCATGACAAACATGTCGACCTTACAGATGGTAAAAAATGTAGGGCAATCTTCTTTTGAAATGAAAAAAAAAATCTAAGATATGCATGAATTATGTCCATGAAACAACATTCAATCAGAAAAGATAACTATATAGTTAGTAGTATTTGTCGTGACATGAAATAAAGCAGGAATCAAAAGAATTTAACACCCGTTAAATTGCAGCATACCTGTAGAGCAAGGCTCAACCCTCCGGTTTCTTCTGGCTCAAAATACAATAGCTGCAAATGTAACTACTTCATCGTCACTAAACAGAACATGTACAACATAAATAAGATTCTGAACGGAAAACTCCTTAGATAATTAATATAAGTCTCAATAATAACTTAGAATTGGAGATTAATACCTACTTCTTGTGATTCAAACATTTCTTTTCCTTATCTAATAAGGAAAGTTCAAGTAAATAGAGGCAATGTAATAGTGAATCAGCTTCTAAATAGAAAACTCTTTAAATGATTAATATAACACTCAATGGCAAAAAAGACCACATAAAACTGATGAAGAAAATAAAAGAAAGTTGTCAAATTTTGTGGACTGCATTTTCTCTCTCTTTGTTTTTTTTTTTGTGGGGAGGGGGGGGTAAGAAAAGGTATTTTGGGAATTTTTCTCTATAATGGACTTTTCTGGAATGTACAGAAAAGCTAGGGGGTTCCATTTAAAATTGGAGCGTGGAAAAAATTAGGAGAAAGGTTAGATTTTGAATTTAAAATTTTCTTGAGAAAAGGCGTTGTGCATGAGGATCGTCTTTATTAATACTTTCACTGCGCATGGATTAAGAAAAGGTATTGTGCATGACTTGGAAAGGGGTAGAGTCCATTAATGCTCCCAAGAAAGTTATGAGAGCTTTGGTTTAGGAGCCAAGCCAAGTCTACAGTCTATTAAAAGAGGTAGACTTTTACCCTGCCGGAATCAATGTTTTTGCCATAAAATTTCAGAAATCAGGAACCAAGTTCCTATTTTGGGGTGGTTTTGGACCCTCATACAAGCCAATGTAACTAGAATTTGTTAGCTTCAGCCCATTGTCTTTGAATCACAATTGAAATTCCTTAATTTCTACCCAATTGTGGGCTATTTCTCTTTGATCTACATCAAATACTCTCATTGGAAACTAAGACCTGCTTCATGTGATTTAATCAACAAGACAAGTTATCCTCCCTGCCCGCCCCCTCCCCCTTCTCTTTTTTCTGAATAAGACAACTCGAGTAGATCAAGGCAATCCAAAAGTCTCTTCAGCACAATTCCTTAGAGATTTATATTATTACAAATATATATGAGCCAGAAAAGAAGAATATGAATTGATTTATGACACTGGTATTATCCCCTACCACCACTTATGAATTGATGTATGATACTGGTATTATCCCCTATCACCACTTATTGCTTTCAAGATGCATACATGATTTGACAAGGTTTCTTCATCCATCTTCAAAGACTTTCAATCGAGAACTCAATTACAGAATGCTAGTCTTTCAAGGATTTTAATTCACGTGACTGGATTTGTCATGCACTGATTTCAAGGATTTTAATTCATGAAGATTTCAATGGAGTGATGGACAATACCATTTTACTCATTTGTGTTTGAAGAAATTTGAGGGTAAAATGCGAAGTTAAGAAATTAAGCTTTCGGTTTCTTAGGATTCAAGTTAGTTAACAGGGTTTCTTTTCTATGTATTGTGCCTTGTAAAGGAGTAGAAGTTGAATTGAGTTTTTTGGGTCCTTTGAAAAGATCCTTTTCGGGGTAGATTACCTTGTAGGAATAGAGTGGGGGTCAAATTTCTTCACCTTTAGGGGGCCCCCAGGGGTATTTTCTCTCATCTTTCTCTATTTTTTGGTCTTTCTGTTCTCTATCTATTTCCTACATCATATATGCTTTGTGACTAGTGGGTATGGGACATGCACTAAGAAGATTCTAGGATCAAGAGTCCATGTGATGGGACTGTACAAGAATCTTGAATCACAATTTTAAATCTAGAAACAACTAGTCTAGCGATATGATAACTCCAATGGAAGTACGGTCCAGAGGGACCAAGGATTATGGTCCAGAGGGACCAAAGATGCCAATATTGATTCCGAAACTCAAACTAAGCTTAACAAGCTAGGCCGGGTTGAGTTTAAAACCCTTTATCTCTGGGCATGAAGCACAAACATGGAGGGTTTAGGGTTACCCCTTGGTGAGGTCGAAGAGATGCTCAAAGTGGTTGGCCAACGGACTGTGTGACCCTTGTGTACGATTGAAGGGCCTGAAGGGACAAAGGTCAAATCCTCATCATAACCATCGGACAATATGTACGTATGATAGCCATATTAGGAAGTAGGCACCATTGAGGGTGTGACATGTACCTGTACGAGAGATAGCCCCCAATGCACCAATTGCGATAAAAAAACACAGGTCTGTGTGACCTAGGCTTGTCCTTAGTGGGGGCCCGTAGTCCGTAGACTAGGATTGTGTTCTCATCACCTATTGGCTGACTTTGGTAGTCCAATTATGAACCTCTGTGATGGACTGTGGGTCATGGGAAGTATTGGGTTAGTTTGAGAAAATGAGTGTGGGACATGGTCACTAGTAGAGATGGAGTGCCTCAGTTTTTTTCGCATTTTCCTTAATGAAGTTGGATCTGATTCCCATCAAATTACTTTTAAATGAATTAATTTTACTTTAAAAGATTTTTAGATTATTAAAATAAATTTTTAGAAGTCTCAAGATATTTTTATTTTATCAAAATTGATTTTTCAATTAGCTAAAACTGAATTTTCAGGTATTTAAATATTTAGAGAGAAAAATAAAATATTTGAGTATTTCAAAACATCATTTTATTTCTTTTAAAATTTATTTAAGTTTGTGGATGCCCAAAATTCATTAGCGCCCACCACAATATGCCCACTTTGATGGGGGCGTGGGGCCCACTATGCTCAACATAAGTGGGACGCGCCACTTTCTCCTAGTTCCCATAAAGTGTCGCTTGTTGCAGAAGCCACTTAATTGATTTGAAAATAAAATGGAAAGTTTTATAGGTTAATTGATTTCAAAAGGGGAAGGCATAGAGATTGATTAAAATAAAAAAAAGGAAATAGTATATTTTCTCTACACAATATATTTAATGAATTAGCTAAAGGAAGCTGAGAAATAAAGTTCTATCACCTTCTTTTAAATCATAGTGGTTGATCTAAGGATTGTATGGCTAAAATCTCTCACCCCACAGGTCACCTATGATATATGCTCAAGATTGAATCTCTACAATGATGGCTAACCCTAATTCCCAAAACCCTAGCCTCTGAGTTATAAATATATCATATTGGGGGGACTATTCTCTACGCATCTAACTTGATCTCAACACCTTGTTGAACACCTTGGTTAACCAGCATATGCCAATCTCCTCCATACACTTTCAAACCTCTATCGAGATACCATTTGGTCCTAAGGCCTTTCCTATCTTCATCTTTCTCAAAGTTTCTTTCACTTCAGATATCCTAATCCTACGAGTTTAATTCATAGGAGTCTATCACATACTCTCTTGACATTAACCACTTTATCTTTAAATCATTGTTTACTATTATGCTTATGCCATTTCTATTATTATCTTTCTCAAAATACCAAAGTTTATATCCATCGATTTCTTAGTTTTTTCTCCTTTCCACTTAGTTTCATGTAGGGATCTCTTTATTTATAACCAACAGACATTACAACTATCTTAAAAGTATAATTGTATCACTAGATGGCTACAAATTAAGAAAATCATCAATTTGGTTGTTATCTTGATCGATCCCTTGCTGTAAGAATCGTGATCCGTAACATTGGGGATCATGATCCCAAAATTGAAAAATCAAGATCCCTTGAGAAGGATCTTTCATTCACATAAAATGAAATAAATAACATGATTTCTCCTAGCAAGGTACTTATCGAACAGAAAAACCGTATTTCAGGTGTTAGGGCTCGAGGCATTACATCTTGAGTGAACCCAGATAGAAAGGGATCCAGAGAATTACAAACTTGCAAATGCTCACAAAATTGGCACCTTTTAATGCATTACACACACCTTGAATTTGCTTTTGTCAGATGATGTCACTCGACATACAAGCCCTGCAAGTGCCTCCCGTTCTGTTATTGTCACAGAATAAAAGTGTGCGCATTGTTTCTCTACCTGCAAAAATCATAACTCCAATATAAGAGTTAAGACAGTGCTCACCAATTGATAGTAAGGCACGCCAACACAGCCAAGATAATCTCACCTTCTTTATTACTGGTTGCCCCAATTCAAGTTGCCGAATGTTTACAGTTCCATTTAAGGCCTCCTCCAACAGAGTTGCTGATACAGTTGTCTTTATTGGCACACCAAGTTTGCTTTACAGGATACCAAATTATTAGACATATATGTGATTCCATAACTCCACATGCTGATAATATTCACTTAAAAGACTAGGATTACCTGAAAATGGCAGCAAACATGGTATTGACAGCTCCTAGACTTGAAAGATCCAGCTCCAGTTCTTGGCTCTCTGATTCAATTGCCTAATCAAAAAGGAAAGTAAATAAAGATGACTTCCATTTCTTAAGTATATGTGAAAGAAACTTCTAAGAAAACCAAAAGGAAAATATCAGACAAAGAACCCAGATCATTCATGCAATGATAACAGGAAGACCTGGACCAACACAGGCTTTAAAAGATATAACCCTTCATAAAGAACAAAATTTCAACCACCAAATTATGTTCATGACAGATAAGTCTCCACATAAATTCCTCTAGAACCAATTTCTCTTCATAAAAGATAAGTCAGTGCAAAAATTCCTCTAGAAGTAACGGAATATATTCATTCATCACTCATCTTTATGTAGTACCTCAAAACCTGCTGTGTCGTATTGACGTCGTTTATCTGGGTCTGACAAAATATTGTATGAAAAAGTGACTTCTTTAAATGTATCAGCAGCTTCAGGGTTGTTTGCATTTTTGTCAGGATGGTATCTGCAAAATGTTGAAATATGAACCACATGGAAGTAGAGAAGTTGTTGCTTGGTATTAAAACCCCAGAAACAAATATGATCTTCCACCATGAAATCTTAAAACAGAAAGAAATTCATGAAATACCTATTTTTCTTAAAGAAATCAGAAGCACGGTTATAAGGTTAAGAGAAATAATCATTTTAATTAACAAATTAATGTACATGCAAGCTGTAGCATTATCATCCAAAGTGGCACACAAGAATTTTCTATGACAATTATTCATCTACTGAACACAAATTATTTTCAGAAAATGTACTGTGGTGCCTATTTACAAAAACAAATGAGACATTCAGAATTGTATGAACTATCGATGAATCAAACTTATGAGTCACACTATGAAGCTATGGGAAAGAGTGATCGAGACTAAGGCATGAAACAAGTGTATCAGAAAATCAGTTCGGTTTTATGCTAGGGAGGTCAACAATTAAGGCTATTTTTCTACTTAAGCAACTAATTGAGAAGTTCAGAGAAAAGGAAAAGGACCTCGACATGGTCTTTATTGAGTTAGAGAAAGCATATGATAGGGTACCTAACGATTTTATTTGGTGGGTGTTGGAAAAGAAAAGAGTCACCAGAAGCTATAATGACATGGTAAGAGATATGTACGAGGTAGCGCTAACTAGTGAGATGAGAACTAGTGGCCTACATCAAGGGTTAGCCCATATCTCTTTGTTTTGGTTATGGATGAGTTAACGAGGCACCTACAAGATGAGGTACCATTGTGCATGTTGTTTGTGGATGACATAGTTTTGATTAATGAAACTAGAGGCAGAGTCAGCGCAAAGTTAAAACTTTGGAAGGATGCTCTAGAATCAAAAGGTTTTAAAATAAATCAGACGAAGGCAGAATATATGGAAGGCAAGTTCAATAATAGTAGGAGTGAAAATGAGGAAATAGTTATTGATGGCCAAGAAATACCTAAGAGGTTATTTTAGATATTTTGGGTCAATAATACAAGAGAATGGTGAGATTGAGGAAGATGTCACGCATAGAATTAGAGTTGGGTAAGCAAATTGGCGATGTACATCCGAAGTTTTATGTGATTGCCGCATATCAATGAAACTAAATAGGAAGTTCTATATGGCATCTGTAAGACCAAGCATGCTTTATGAGACAGCTGGGCAGTCAAGAAACAACATATTCATAGGATGAGTGTAGCTAAGATGACGATGTTGTGATGGATGAATAACAAGACAATAAATGATAGAATCTGTAATTAATACATTCGAGGGAATTTAGGCTTGGCTTCAATAGGTGATAAGATTATGGAAGGTAGACTTAGGTGGGCTGGCCATGTGCAACGCAGACATAATACAACATCGTTTAGGAGGTGCGATTTGGTTCAAGTGGAAGGCTCTAGAAGGACAAAGGGAGGACCAAAAGGATAAGAATGGAAGTAGTAAGAAAAGATATGGTGACATATGGTCTTACTAAGGATAAGGCCCTTGATAGAGGAGAATGGCGGAATAAAATTCATGTAGCGACCCCAAAGAGTTGGGATATGGCTCGGATGATGATGATGAAATTAAAATGAGAGGTGCATGGGGGTGATATAATCAAGAGACTAGACCTCCAGCCACCTCTTTCCATTCTCTCTCCCATGTGCACTTTCTTTCTCTCTCCTCCCTCTCTCTTTTCTCTCACCCCTCCCTCTCATCTCTCTCTTCCTTCTCCTCATAGTAATACGTTTAAAAAGTTTCATAAAGTTCATTTTAAGAGATTCCAATTGAAGAGCATCTTTAATCAGAATATGATCTCATAATCATTATAGACAAGTCTAGAGCACATGGTGCACTTATTAGAGCATTCACATTTGCGATTTAAACAAGACTTCCCACATTGAAGCTCACCATTTATGAGTTCAACTGGGCAACCATGAACCTACTCTAAGAGGAGCAAACCACTAGGGTTCTTCCTAGAAAGCAAGACAAGAGATCATGTTGGTAAGATATCTAGTGTGTTCTTTTTCTACTATGTGACATTATAAGTGTAACAAAAGAAACAGATTCTCAATCCATAGAAGGCTCATATTCTTTTGAGTTAAACTTCTGATGGGGAACTTTCCTTAACGATCATATTATTAAGATTTCAAAGGTGTTTCTTTTCTACCATAATAGAAGTAACAAAGGAAACACATTCTCGATCTGCAAAAGTCCAAGCTAAACCCCTCTTACAGAAATTTTTCTAAAGTAGTTTTGTTATAATGGGGGATGCAAACAATATTGGATGCATTACAAGTAACACGGATTTCAACAGACAAAATATTGAGGATTCCACTCTGTCATTAGGGTTTTAAAAGATGACAATACGCTTAAGAAGTTCTACCTCAGACCTAATTCACCTCAATATTCCTTAAGGATCATATTATTAGGATATCAAAGATGTTTCGTTTCTACCATAATAGAAGTAACAAAGGAAACACATTCTCGATCTGCAAAAGTCCATGCTAAACCCCTCTTAGAGAACTTTTCCTAAAGTAGTTTTGTTTTTATGGGGGATGCAAACAATATTGGATACATTACAAGTATCACGGATTTCAACAGACAAAATATTGAGGATTCCACTTTATCGGTAGGTTTTTAAAAGATGACAATACGCTTAAGACGTTCTACATCAGACCTAATTCACCTCAATAAAAATAAAAGCATGTGTTTGATTGGAAGTACAAAATTTTCAAGATAGGACTTAGATTTCCTGAGAAACCACCCATATAACAGCTTAAGAGTATTTCAAGTCCCCTAATCCCTATTTCATTGGGTTCATGATGTCCAATCCATTAAATTATAAAAGTTTCATATTATTTTATTTAAGCAACTCAAACATAATTATATACTTTCAAATTTCAACATTAAATTACAGCATCTCTAAACTAAACAGAGGCAACCCCTTAAGTCTCAAGTTGTGTGGATTATCCTTACCTAAATATATAAGCTCCACATCAATAAAAAAGGGGGAAAAAAAGAAAATCAATGATTATTACCCAGCTTATTATTGAAAGTTAGAGCAATGATTTCTTAAGTTTTAATGGATGCATAATTGTGACAATGTATCATGAACTCATTCCTCCAGCCCTATTTAGATAAAAGGATGTAGGAGCACATGCATTATGACTGGACTTACACCTGCTGAACTGAGGTTTCTAGATTAAGAAAGTCACATCCAAAGCTTCCAGTATGCATAGAAATTGTTAAGCTGGCACTTTGTATCAGCCAAATCCAACTTCTAAATCGTAGCAACTACATATTGAAAGATTTTATAACAATGAAATTTCAATAGTGACTACATATTGAAAGATTTTATAACAATGAAATTTCAATAGTTTTGAGACTCGAAACATGAAAAACATGACAGAATCTTCAGGATTGGAAATCACTGCAAAATCCTGTCAAAACATAGGCATCCGATAAGGCAATTCAACTGGAAACATGGTACTTCTAAGTGGTCCATGCAAATCAACTAATATGAATAAGATTGCCCACAAAATTTGGGAGTGAGATATATAGGTGATAAGATTAAGCATGTGCATATGCACTGGGATGGCAAAGATTACCAGAAGACAAACCCAATCTTAAGCCTTTTCCTCTCAAAAAAATAGAATTGATTTGCAGTGATGAATTCGGTACTCCATATCATAGCAAATTAGTATGGAATAATCGTTCTCCGTATAGAACCCAAATTCCCACGACAGAGAAGTATAAATAACAGCTAAACTACAGCAAGGAACCATCCCTTCAAACACATAATCCGACATAATAACAGATGTGAAAACGCAATTTCTCCCAAAAACTAGAGAGAGAGATGGTTCAACTCGTCCAACATGTGTTAGAATAGATTTGGGTACCTTAGCGCCATTTTCCTGTAAGCTGACTTGATTTCTTGATCTGATGAGTTTCGAGAAACACCCAGAACCTCATATGGATCCCTCCTCTGATGTTTTGGAGCATTCTCCGACTTGAAAGAAGCCGAATGCCCCGGCATCTTCTCTCTTCCCACCCTAAAATCAAACCCTTCTCCCTCTGAAAAATCTCTGAACCTCAAATTCTTAGGTCTAAGTTACACATTTTGAGAAAGCACTCAACGCAATAGATATCTTCAAGAACCAAGGAATGAGCTCTCTCTTTCTCTCATTAGGTTCCTAAATCAGGGACATGTTTGCATAATAAAGTGAAGAACTCCTGAGATCTCCGCATCTAGGTTTTTGTCTATTTCTGTAATTCGCTTCAAACAAAGGAAAATAGAGAAGCCTGCAATTGAATTTAGAGAGAGAAAGACTATGGAAGCGACAACCAGAATGCACCAGCTCAACCTTCAAACCCTACCAAATCCACAACCACAACACCCACGATACCTGCTTCACAATTCTTCGAAAAAAAATTCCTTGAAACCGCGCATTAAGATAGAGCTAACCACCATTATCGGACTCTCTCTCTCTCCACCATTATCCGTGCCTTTCTCTCTCATTAACATAGAACTAACCACCATTATCGGACTTTCTCTCTCTAGTTTCTCTCTCTAACACTGGGGGAAGTGGAAGGGATGTTTTCACATCAGACAAAGAATCCCCTCTTCCCTCTCTCTCTCTCTTTTTTTTCAGAAAAACACTGTCCCTCTCTCTTGTCCCTTCTCTGAATCTCAGCTCAAAAATAGACCAGCTGTTACTTTTACAGGCCCGGACAGGAATTGTGCAAGCCTTTAAGACAAATGACATTAAAGTCCTAATCTTTTACCATTAAATGATTGAGTGCGGTTGCCCTAATAAACGATCGTGCCATTTCATACTGTTTTTGTGGCCTCACAATTGTCTAAGGTTTAAATGTTAGGACCTAGGCGCCGAAATAAAGGATACGAATACGACGATGAAAAAGTTAAAGGGTGCGGTTTCTGTAAGGCCCTAACTTTAAACAATCCAATTAGGGCGCACCTCCAAATTCTATCATAGCATGTAATTTTGGTAAAAACAATTTTAAGGATTACCTCAAAATCTATTTTCATATCTAATTATAAAATTTTAAATTTTAAAAATAGTTAAAATCAAGTAGATTTATAAATATCTCAAAAACTTGAAAAATGGACGGTCTAGATAATGTAGTGCAAGATGTACTATTTATGGGACTCAAAATATTTTTTTTGTATATTTATACATCTCGATGTCGAGATGATCAATTGAAGGTTTTTTCAACATTAAAACAACCTTTTCCGATGGATTTTTGATATGCATATGTAATTCTACGTTTTAAAGTTGCAATGTTATATAAACTTTTTCTAAAGTTAAAACGCCCTTTTTTCCTTAAATGGGAAAAACGTATTGAACATTGTCTCTATTAGTCCATGTAGAAATGAGTCACCTCTTAAAATTTATTTTTGAGATGGATTTTTTTATTTAATTTTTAATGACATGTAATCTCTAACATGGAGATCATGAATATGAATAAATACATAAATTTTAAAAATTAGAAATAATAATTCTATTAAGAAAAAATTTGGACGGTTAGTTTCACTTGTTTTTAGATGGACCACCTATTTGAGATGGATGCTTAATACCTTGGGATTGCATATCGTAGAAATGCGGTCGAACCTGCATGAAACAATTTTCCTTCAATTAATGGCATGCTATAAACCCAACCTACACCCTCAAGCCCATATTCTTGACAGTTTTAAAAATTGCCAAGTTGAACCAAAATCGTCATGTTCTACTGCTATTGGAACATTTCTAAATTTGCTTGGTTGGATCGAAATTTTTGAGGACAGAGTGGGGATGATTCAGTTCTAAGGAACTCAAGAATCACTTGGTTCCTTTTATTTATGAATTTTTTGTTATCTAATATCGCCGAATTGATTGAGCTAGATTGAAATCACTGATCTGACTTGATATAGTGGGGGAGTTGGAGGGAGATTCATGCTTTTAAAATGCTACTAACTTTGGCCAAAGAAACTTTCTGGTACATTGAAACAAAAGGTACTTATTAAGTTCTATTCCTGCATTCATGGCTGCCCAATACATCAATGTGGTTGGAATAGTTGATTTGGTTAACGTTGACACAACATTTTGGGTGATTGAATTTCTAGGTGTCCTGAACCACATCCTTTACACCTAGACCTAGTAGTTACCTTGCTCAAGTTACTCAGTCTCATTGATCCCAAATCAGAAACTTGGAAGCCTTATGGTAACCCTGAGACACACCTTTTTTGTCAAAACCCTATGTAAAACCCCTTCAACTTGAATCTAACCTCAAGAACCTTCACTTGGGTGCATAATTGAACCATGGTTCGAATTTGGGCCTAGTTTGACGAAGGACCAAATGGCAACACGGACGGCATTTGGCCCTGGAATTTTCTGAAAGCTTCTAGAGGTATTTAAAAGGTTTTTGGAATCAATAATTGATCAATTTCAATCCGAATTATCTTTTAATTCTAGGTCAATCTGTATTGGAACTAGTTGTTGGATAGAACTTGATGGAATCCAGTTTGAGCTATAGGTTATCTAAGGTTGTTTGATTCTAGTAAGTCCTGACGAATATAGATGGATAGGAGTCTCAAGATTCAGATTATAGGAGTCTCAAGACTGAGATTGCCATCAGGATTTAGGATAAAGAAAGAAAGGGTAAATTGTCAAAAAGATTATATTCAAATAAATGAAAAATTATATTCATGACGAACCACATCGATGGTGCCGATGCGCTGTGGTGGCAGACGTGTCATTGATCCCAAAATATGTTCAATTCAAGATAATCTTCAAATTTGTGAGGACTCAATACGAATTCAATGAAATCTTGATCTAGACCCCAACTTCCAATGTCGAGCCTGTGGGTCTGGTCTGGTAATATTTCTTCTATTTATTAATTGTTTTATTTTTATGTTAAAATCTAAATATAATATTGATTTGTTATTTTAAAGTTTAATAAAGCTTTCATTATTTTGGGGGAGGTGGTAGTTAGTTCTTTAAGTTTTTTATGTTTCTATTGTTTT